ATTATATTCACATATAGACCAAAACTTTCTTGCGCTGAACTTCTGATGCAAAATTCCACAATTTCCTATACCAAAGCCTCTTAACAACTGCGTTATAGTTCCCATACATCCATAACTTAAACATCAGCTTATTTTCTAATAAAGTAATATACGTGTAAACAAACTTCATCACATTTCACCTGTATATTAAAGAATGGACAATACATTCAGTTGTTTAACAATTGATAAAGTCCATAGATAAAATACATTAACAATTGTATTTTTAGACGCAATTTCATCAATTTTGGCTTTGGGCTACATGCGGCCCGCGGTCCACGTATTAGACATCCTTGGTTTAAAGAATCATTTTTCAACATATTTACTAACGTTGTTTTACTAATTCCTAGATTTGACATATTTGTAAATCAAGTGAATTATATAATAATAGAGATTTATGAAATGTTAGAATAAAATATCAGAATTCATACAAGTTTATATTATTCTCTCTATATAAAATTTAATTACAATTCGAGGTAAATATTACATGTAACGAAATAAAATTAAATTAAATTTTAAAGATATAAAATAATAATATTAAACGAATGTAAAGAAACGAAATGTAAAATGTTTCTTTTCAAAAACTAGTGTATTGTATAAATCGGTGTCCTCGTATTTGACACTCCGTTCGCGCCGCAGATACATCATCCAGTTTGTGTCGTTATCCTTGAATTTCGAGTTCAGCTTTTCAATTCCCAAGTGTATTCTTGGGATTTTAGTTTTACTTCTTTACGTTGTAAAGCTGGATGGATTCGATTGTTTGTGTTCCTGATTTTGGCGAAGGATAGAACTGCAGATCGTCTGGTGATCTCTACTCTTCTCCTCATCCTTCGAGAATACATTTTGAGAAAGTCCATGACCATAGTCAATTAAGTACAGATCGGTCGGTCATCTCTACTGTTCTCATCCTTCGAGAACACTTTTTTGAGACCATAATCAATTGTTTTACCGTGTATTAAATTTACAAACAAAAAATTATATTTTTTTATACATAAAATATACGAAGGGTTAAATTTTAATAAATATTATTATATAATCCCAATAAATGTGCGTATAGTAAACAAAAATAAAATAATTATATAAATATTAATTACTTTAATGTTGAAATTAATAATTATTAATAACTATTGCAATTGAATGCAGAGTTGTATTTCACATTTAATTATTTAATATATTTTAATAAATAAATTAAAGAAATATTAAATTTATTTAGAATTTTTCATAATAAATATACAAAGATTAGGGGCTTTTTAAAAATTTTACTTCAGAATAGTGTAATTTATAAAATTTAATAAATGGTATCACATTAGTACTTAACTCTTTTGTTTTTGTGCATCGGAGGATGAATGATAACTACGCCAAGAGTTTCAATTTATGACCCTATTTTTCTGAAACTTAATCCTGTCATCCTACAGGTGCATAAAATACTTCCTCCATATACCACGTGTTCGATTCACATTATTAGAACTGTTTACCTTACATAATTTTACGTTATACCTGTGTAAATGTTTGATTCCTTAGAGATGATTTAAAGGAAACCAAAAACAAAATATATTTACCTTATATTTTAAGTATAACTACATTAAAAAACGTTACATAATGCAACAATATCAAAGAAAGTTTAAAAAGTAGAGTAGAAAGTAAAGTTTATGGAACTAAACCCTGGTAAATAAGCCTAAATCACACATACAAATATGACATCTTATGATAGTTCAAATTTGACAGCTTATAATATGAAAACAAATAATACCACCAATATTTCAATATGATTATTAGAAAGGTCATTTCTTAAAGTGTCATTATTAATTAAAAATCTGTTACAATTATTATATTGATAGAAAATTACCTAATTTACTGATTTTTAACTGGAATTGAAATATTGGACATCAATATTTAATTAGTTTTTTTGTTTGTTGTTGCACTATTTCGATAAAACATGGCAAATATTTGATCCAAACGATTTGAGTATACACTTGTTGTTTTTTTTTTATTTACTGTGTAAATTGTAATTTTTGGTACATTCTAGTTGGTTTTAATTGCGTTTGGTGTAATCGATATTATCAGAATCATCCAATATAATTCGAACAAATTTCAATAAAAACTTCATACCTTGTTTAATATCGTTACTATATTATATGTGTGTCCTACATTAGTTGGAAGTCCTATACGATATTAACAGATTCTCTCGAACTTCTAATTCAATTAAAACTTGATTGCTATTACAAAGTAATGAACTACAATATCAATCAAAATTACTAAGTTATTCCATAGAAACAATTTCATTTGTAACTTTTTTTAAATTTGTAATTTAACTTTTATTCTACTAGATAGATATTCATATACGTATAAAGACATAAAATTAAATGAAGTTTACTAATAAAAATTTGATAGTATTGTCCAAAAAGTATAAGTTTCTTAATTTAAAAAAGAATCAGATTATAAAGAAATGAATTAAGCATTGTTTAATAGAAAGTATTACAAGAATCTACCAAAACTGTGTCAAGGTCATAGTTAGGAAGCATTGTGCGCACAAGGAGACAATGGCACATTGTTTCGAGGAGCCACTTCAACAGGAAGATACTGGATGTCTTTAATGAAGGGAAACTCACAAGGGATGGTTGACATTCAACAAAAACAACAACAACAAAAAAAGTGGGGTTATTCTATGCCCAGAAGATGTAAGGAGAACCCTCAACTTCAAAAAAAAAATCCACTTCAATTCGGAAAGAAAGAAATGCAACTCCGCCGGTAACACTGCGAACAATTACGTAATTGATAGTAAATAATTAACGGTGGCGTTACGTATGTTGAGCATTAGTCATAATTAGGAGCGTAGATAAATGACATAATTAAATTATAGGAACGGCTGCGGAGTGTAATGGCAACAACATCCGAAGGAAGGAATGACTGGACCACTTGCGTTGAAGATTCGTAAGCATTTATCATGATAGCAAAACCATGGGCATAATTTATCCTTCGTCGAAGGAAACGCAACAATGGGCCATCCCAAAGAATGTAAAGTCCTCGCGCGAAAAGCAGCTTACGCAATCAATTTGGTGGAGTCATCCTCCGTTTCCTGAATGCAACCGACTTACCGCCCACCGGCGATGAATAAAATTTGAGAATTGAGCATTCAAAAAGGCAGAAACGTATTTATGGTTGAAACCCCTTAATCGTTTGTATCTAAATACGTTATTCAATGAAATAACTGACTTATTTCATAGAATAACTATTAATAATGGTAAAAGTATGGAATATATCGTTATTATATATTTTAACTAATTATTTCATATAATATGTAGTTAAAGTATAAAATTGTTTATATTATGGTAACATATATACTCTTGTCTTAGATAATTTCAGCATATTTTCATCGATATTACTACAAACTCAATCTTTTTTTTTATTCCATCTACGTAAATATCTGTATGGCGCGAAGTTTGAAATTGCCATAAATAAATTGTACAGCGTGTACCGAACACGATTTACTCGAATTTACAGGCGATCGTTATGTAAGAATATTTTAATAAGTAAACGTTTAAGTGTTAAAATATTTTAATGAAAGAAACTTTCATTTTTTTTTTGCTTAAAATTTGCGTAGTACGTTTAATACAAGCGGAAATGTAAATAGCTCCAAAACTTTGGTGGAAAAACGGTGCAATAAAATAAATCCCTTCATTCACGAGTTTAAAGTTTCTTTAAAAAGATTATAACGAATCCAGTTGCTTTAACTGGCTGTATGTTACGTTTAAGTAGAATTTAATGTCAAGACAAGTTTTTCTTTTATATGCTTAATGTTTTACCATTCATTAATTTTATTTTTGCATTGATTTTGAAATTATGATAATTATCAATTATTTTTTGATACTAATTTTTACGAAACATTATACAAACATATTTTATATACAGTCAGGTATAATAAGTAAGTTTTGGTAGTGTATCATTAAAAGAAAAATTGAAAAATTTTCGTAACTTTCGTTTCAATAAATTTTAAATGAAATCGAAATATTGTTCTTTGGTATTACTGTTATCAAAAATTGGGAATATTTAATACATTTGCTAGAAAACATAGGTTTTATGTCTTTAATTTCTTAGTGATTTTTGAATAGAAATAACGTCATTAATTTGTTAATACAAGTTGAAATTTGAATTAAAGTATTTTCATGAAAGCATATTTTCAAATCGAATTTTAGGGGCTGATTGAAGCTGCAGTATTCGAGGTATTGATTTTGTGTGAACAAACTTATGAAAAAATAGTTCCAATGACAACAAAATGTTAAATGTGTCGCAACACTCTATTATTGGACTAACTCGAAATGTATGCATTGCAACCCTCTTCGCGTCAAACACTTATATAACTTTCATTGTTGAGATAGGCCAGGGTCGGTTTTAATGCATTATAATTTACGCCTATGTAAAAAAGAAGAAAAATTATATAGTTAGAGAGAAGAGCTTCGACCGGGGATTAAAAATATAAAAAAAAAGAAAACCATTATTGGATTTGCCCTACACATTTATTCCTTTTTTTTTCCAACCCCCTCGAAAAAAAAACTCGTGGCGGTGGTCGCGGGCACGTCAAATCCGCTCCATTTTAATCCCATTTTATTTGTATTGAGGCAAATCTTTTTAATCCGATTTGTTAACTTCGTCGTCCGTCGTCCCTAAAAGAAAACTTCAGAAAGACTTCGTCCTCCTCAAGTCGATCACAATCTTGTGATTATCCTATTTCGCCAGAGGATTTGAAGTACGTCAAAAACAGTATGCCGCATGGAAATTAGCGTACGCCTGTGTTTCAGTCTTGATGGACAGTTTTCTGAAGAGAAGGAATTTTTACCAAAAGAAAAATAAAATAGAAGAAGTAAGTTTCAGAGCGAGTTCTGCTGGGGCTTCGACGCGCATCGTAAACGTTCGCGCAGAACAGAGAGGAGGACTCTGTTCTCTGGTGTTACAGCATCCAGATCCAGAGACAGGCCAGTAACGCGCAGCTCTTCGGCAGCTCGGTACCTCCTCTGCTGTGGAAACGGGTTTCGGAAACGTCGCGCGCAAAACTTCGAAAAACTTTCCCTAAAATCATCAAAAAGTTTCAAACCCCGATCCACAAAAAAACAATAATAATTCAGTGATGTTGTGAGCACTGTGTATTTATTTATTTACCAGAAGAGAATTACCATCATCGGAATGGCTTCTTGGATTGTCACCTTAGTGGTCCTCAACGGTCTACTCGCAGCTGCAGCTGACAATTTAGGTAAACTTTTTTTTAAAAAACGCTCTTTAACATTCGGTACCATCATTAAACTAAATGGTACCAAAACATCAATATCAAATAAGAAACTTCAATTGGCTTCTCTATTTAAATCAAAGAAGCAAAAAACACCTCTATAAATTGCTTGTATCTTCTGGTATACATACAAATATATTTATTATTTTTGGGATAAACGTGTATTTGGACCCGATTTGAATTGCTAAAAGTGGGTTTCTCTAATGGCCTCCGACTGTCAGACGCGAGGCGAATTGCAATGTTTTTTTTGCTTCTTCTCTTGTTTCGTGATGTATGTTTATGTTGCTGAAACACTTGCCCATTTTTGTGCCAAACGGTTCAATAAATTTTGCATTTACTGGATTCCTGTAGAGACAATTTAACTAGATTCTTACAAGGACAATTTAACAACCCTTCGAAAAGGGTGTCTTCCTCTCCTATTTATTTGAAATTTTTCCTTTTCTTCAATCAAAATAAATTAACCTAGGTTCATATCAAAAATAGATACAATATTTCAACCCATTTTTTATTTATCATATATTTTTATTACAATTAGTATTAATTAATAAACTTTTATTTTCACTAATAATAATTATATAATTTCAACAAATGATATTATTGTTTATAGATAAGCTATTACTCGAATAGTGCGGTTACATCAATATTTCAGAATATTTGAAAACCGGACTAATCGAGGACTTTAAAACTGCATAAAAATAAATCTCATTAAAAATAATAATTTTGTCTAATACTTTTTTTAAATTTATTTTTTTGAATTTTCAGTGAATATAATTTATGAATGAAGATAGAAAACAATTTATATTATGCAACGTAAAATAGTTTGGAAATTATTAATTGAACGGAACGAAATTTTGCAAAACAAACTTTATTATTATCTATCAAACTTATTATGATATAAAGTAATTATGTAAAAGTAATTGGATATTTTTTATTGGTGTAAATTTAAAGAATTCATTATTTTAATTAAATTAATTAAACTAATAGCTAAATATATATTTTTTTTTTAATTTATTTTTATTTAGTTTGCTTTGAAATTTTCAAACCATACTATAGTAAATCCGCACTGATCTAAAACGTACAATGCGAGTTATATAGTTTATATTTTGTAATGAAAGAAAATATAATTATAATAATTTATTGAAACTATTCAGACAAGATTAACTTCGCTTCAGTTTTCTCTGAATTATATATATTTAAAATAGCTCAGAGATGCGTTAAAAGGTTTTGTGCTGATAATTTGTGCATAATATAAACGTATTTTCATAACAAACATTTCAATTTTAAAATATAAAATATAAAGAAAAAAATTCTAAACAGTATTTGTTTACCGAATCATTCGGAAAATAGTACCTATTCGTAAAATGAAATTATATTCTAAAACTGAAACATTTCGGTACTTATGTTCGAAAACCGAGGTATTGTTTGTAACGGTGTAACTGTTTTTATTACGTCTTTAAATATTTATTTATAATTTACAATATGTAAAAAAAAAATTGAAATTGATATGAAATTTACTACTTTGTAACAGTTATTAGTTTTACTAGATATTATCTTAATATTATCCAACTACAACGAAATGGTCGATCCGGTGCAGCCGTTCAACTGTTACGTAATAAGACGACTGCCGGTGCTGTGCATTTATATGCGAATCGAGGTTCTGTTTGTATTCCCTACATTAACTCGTGATTACCTCTTCGTCGGTTTCAACTAAAAACTTTTCGTTGTAGTTTCTTGTTGGTGAAATACCATGGAACGTCTGCAATCTTTCTCAGGCTTCGTGCAGGAATTGTTTCGATGTTTGATGCGCTTCCTGCATCTCGCATTTAAATTCCATAAGTACAAACAACTTTTAATATAACTTTACATAAAATACAAAACTTATTTTCTCTCATTTATTCATTTGTGAACATTAATTTAAAAAAAAATTAAATTTAAAAAAAATTCAAATTTCAACTGTAGTGGATTTATCTTATCATAAGATTAATGCTTTTGAAATTGAGTATTTATTATGTAATTATTTGAATATTTTCTTTCTTTTTTTGTTGATTTGTTTTCTTTTTAGTTTAATTTGAAAAAAAATGAAGAAAATTTTCTTAAGATATATGAGGATTTTAAAATTTTGTCGATTTTTTTTTGGATGGAAAAAGACAATGAAATATATTTCTCAAGATAAACGGGTATACAAATATGCAATAAATATATAGATACGAGAATGTCCTTTCAGGATGTCTTCTTGAAAAGATGCCTTATTGTCGAATACTGGGTTTCGATGCGAGTTCAGTGAAAATCCAAAGTCTTCTTTCTCGCCTCAAAGAAGACTTTGAATTGATATTTTTCGTTTGGGAACGGTGCCATTGTTGCCTTCGGTATCCTGAATTGTGGAAATGTGACAAGCGCAGAGGGATAATAAATTCGCGCATCGGGGGTTGAATAAAATAATATAAGATATAAGAAAATAGTGGCCAAATAAGTGCGGGAAAGGCTAGGATCCTGGGGTAGGCCATGATACAGCCCATATATGATGAATGCGAAATTAAAAAGCGTTTAAGACGTTCGCAGGGGGTAGTTTTTGGAGACGGCAATAACAGCCTGTTTACATCCCCTAATGCATTCTCCGCACGCACGTATCCACACATTTATCACCAACCACCCCAAAATGGATAGTGTTTTTTTCTTCCTCTTCTCTTTGGTGCCTTAATCTTCTACGAAAATATATAGAATCCTTTATGACTCTTAAATATATTTTTTTTTTGCTTAACTCACAACAATATTTATACATAATTTATTGTTATATAAACGAAATTAAATTTATTTAAAAAAAAATCATTTTTTCATTCCAAATTTTTAATTTCTTATTTGAAATTAGAAATTTTTACGAATTATTAATTAATATGAAAAACAATATAAAAAAACAAGTTTTATAACCAGTTTGAATCAATATATTTTTTTATTTGATAATTTGTATGCTTTATTGGTATTCCCAAATGCAATATTAAATAAATCATACAACGAAAAGCAACATTTATTTCAATATAATAACGATTTAATGCGTAATTCCAATAATAACGTAATAACAAAAAAAAAATGGTTTCAAATAAAGGTGAATTTTAAAATATTAACTTTTTTAAAATTAAAATATGCAATCTTTTAATTAAAAGATAATATATGAAAAGGTTGTGTTTTTCTTACAGATTTGTGAAATGTCATAAAAAAATCATGTGTTTTGTTTTGTGCTGTTTTTTAGTCCGGTTTGGACTGTTAGAAAGCATTGTTTGATGATGGTTGTATTATTAAATACAGTACTATTTGTAGCCTATTGTTTTCAATAAATGAAACAGATGTTATTAAAAAAAAGTTGGTTGTTAATAATACGTGTATCAAATATATAAAATAATTTATTTCACTTTTTATTTGTTAGTGTTTGAAAATATATTTTTGTGTAACTGAATTCATTAAATTCAATAGATAAATTGTGAAAAACTTAGTTTTTCTTTTAAATTAATTTACATTTATTTTATTAATAATATGAAGAAAAAAAACTGGTGAAGACAAAAAAGTTTTTTCATGTTATTTATTAATAATGTAATATATGATTTATTGATTTTTATATGAAAGTTATACATTGCGACTTTTTCAAATAATACAAAAAGCATTTGTTAATCCAAATGTTGTGTCAAGAATAATCCTGCTTTTCTCCACCCGATGTATTTTTTTTCATAAATGTGTTCAAAAATCCGCTTATTTGGGGATGATTCCAGAGATGACAAACGGAGAGGCTTTAAAAAAAAAGATATCGGTCTGGGGTGTACACAAAAGGACAGTGATTAAAACTGCAACAAATTTTTGTCCTCTCTCTCTCATTTTTACTTCGATTCGCAAGAGAAATGAAAAAAGCAAATAAACAACAAAAACAAATCATGATGAACATGCGCGAATGGTGTTGGGAAAATAGTGTGGATAAAAAGGGTAGTAAGGAAAAAAAGGGAGGAATAGAAATAGAATAGAAGGATGGAATAAAACAACCTATCGCATGGCGTGCGCTTCACTTCGTATCCGGCTCAATCCTTTATGCGGCCCAGTTCAATAATTCATAGGCAAGGAGCAAACACTTCACCACAAAACAAAAGAACGTACCCCGAATAATACATTTCTATAAAATGTTAATCCATTGGAAATCGTCGCTCTTCTTTGTTTTCATCCTACTGTATCCAACATTTTGAAGCGATTTATACAAACAAACGTTATGTAAAAATTACAGAATTCACAAAGACACAAAACAACATTATTTTGTATAAATATCAATAAACTCAAATATTTATTACAAAACAATTTTATCAACACAAAACTTCAATTTTGCATTCAGTCTAATTTTTTGTTTCATACAAAAACTTAATAATTTGAGTCTACAATTAATGCAAAAATCAACACTTTTTAATCATTAGTTTATTAGGAAAAAGAAATTTATAAATTCTAAATAAAATAATAAATAATGAATGTATAAAATTGTTATAATTTTCTCATAAAGTTTGTAAGTTTAAGATTTTTTGTTGTTGGGCCACATTCATAGCTTTTGTGGGTCACATGTGGCCCGCTACAAAGTTAATACCATTTAAGTATTTTATTTGTTATAATAAATATATGTTTTTTTTTAAATTTTCATTGAACAATTGCTAAAAAAAGTGTTAGTTTTCAAACACTAAAAGAGATTTAAAGCAAAAAAAAAATAGCGCACCATTTTTATATAGTATTTTCAGTTATAGCTTATTTGCGCTTTATTGTAAATACATGTACCGATTATATAAAAAAATATATCAAAAACTAAAAGCATTACGTTGGAGCGTAAAAGCTTCAGCTTCATCATGATTTTCCATTGCGAATAAATTATTTTTTAAATATTTACGAGTCGAGGGACGGCAATTCCTTTAGTAGAAATAAAATGTAATATTTAAATAAATAGCTTTTGCCTT